TATGAAAATTATGCTGGTATTGGGCAAGGCTGGGCTATTTCAGTCGTCCCCCCGTGTGCACTGCCTCACCAACGCAGGGCAATACAGCTTTTGTTTCTTGTCCAAGCTCTGCCTACTTCTTCCCTGAACACCTTACTGCGCTGTTATCACCGCTTTCTGAAAGCCCCTTACTCTCAAGTCGGTAACCGAGTTTTTACAGCACTTTGGAAATATATGCAATTTTTACTCAACTTAATTCAGTTTTTAACTTGTGTTTTTTATCTCTTGCATTTCATGATGACTGATCAGAGAGGAAACTGATTAATTAGAAAGGTCTTCAATCCTGTTTAACTGAATGCAAAGATCAAATCACAAAATAAGCGAGGGGAAATTTATAAATTTTGCAAGCTGGTTTCGCTTAACGTCGATGATGCTACAGTGGCCTATGATCGTTGCGGGTCTATCATCTGCAAGAATTGTGCAAAGTTTAGCAAGACAGGTTGCTCAGTTATTCGCAGAATCGAGACAGTACACTGGTATTGACAGGACTGCCAACAACCTGTACTTAGCGCTGTAAAAAGCGAAAAGAAGGTGGAAGAGAAGTGCTCTTCTATGTTCTTTGTTTTTGAAGAAGCTCACAAGAAAGAGTTGAGAGAGCCGAAATGGAGGAGAACCACAAGAAAGAGTTGAGCTTGTTTAGTAGCGAATTACACTCGTTATGTAACGAGCTGGTGGAAATGAAAGCTCATCTACACAGAACAGAAAAGAGCGATAGCACAGAAAGTAAAGGCCGCAAAGAGGACATCTCTGATCTCGCCAACAAGAGAATTCGTGAGCTGCTGGACAGAGAGCGAAAAAAACTTAACCTTGTTTGGTTTGGCGTATCCGAAAGCAATGCTTCGGACGCTGCTTTTATTACTGATTGTTGTGCCAAGGCACTTAACGTTGTTGTGAATATAACGGCATGCAAGAGGCTGCGATCGAAAGACACTACCACCTGTAGATCACTGCTGGTGACTGTGCATAATACAGCCCAGGTCGGACATGTGATAAGGTTGCGAGAAAACTAAGTGAATTTCCAGAGTTTAAAGCAGTCTTTGTTAAGAAGGATGCTACCCCTTTAGAGAGAGCAAATTTTCGCAAGAAATGACGGGAAAAAATTAGGCAGACAAGCATAGAAACTCAGGTCAACCGCTCTCACGAAGTCAAGGAAACACCGGCCGCACACGGTCAGTCAGCGGAGCTGGAAGAAAGTAAGAAGTCTTGTCCATAGATCCAGGCATGTAAATGATGTAAGAAGTAAACGCATGCATCAAAGTGAAACTGCACAAAAAATTAAAATTTTGTACACAAATTCGGTTTCCGTTTTTTACAAAAAAGTGAACTGTTATAATACAAATAGACAATATTTGTATTACAGGGTCCGCCATATTTATGGCAACGTTTATTTGCAATATAAAAATAAATTGGTTTCTAAGAGACTTTCTTTTATAATGAAGCTTAATATCATCTATTAATTCATCTATTTTATATTGCAGAATTCTAAGGTGTCTAAATTTACTATTATTTATGGCAGTAGATAGAAATGCAATTGTAACCCTTCATGAAAAGGGCGGGAGTAATTCAGTCATTGCAAAAAAGCTCCAAATTCGTCGTGAAACTGTGTGGAAGGTGGTAAAAAAATTCAAGGAAACTGGTAAAACATGCAATGTACCTGGTCAAGGAAGGAAACGAAGTGGCCGAACAAAACAATTGGTCAAAAACACGAGGGAAGAGAAGTTGAGGAGAAACCCACGTCGCTCAGCAGCAAAATTGGCTGCAGAAGCAGGAGCCAGTCAGACATCAATGCGTAGAGTCCTCAAAGATGACCTCAAAACCTCCCCTTACAAGATGCAAACAAGGCATGAACTAACAGACCGTCATGAACGGATGAGACTCGAAAGATGCCAGCACATGCTGGACCTCATTGAGGATGGCACGCTGCCCAACTTGGTGTTCAGTGACGAGAAAAAATTTGACATTGGACAAAGCGTTAACCATCAAAATGACAGAGTTTAGAGTCGGGATGGATCTGTGACAACCAGAACAGCAACACGACGTCAAAATCCCATGTCCGAGATGGTTTGGGCCGTGGTAACCGCCACTGGGAGGTCCCCACACGTTTTTGTTCCCTCCGGAGTGAAATTGAACAGTCAGCAATACATTTCGGACATTTTGGAAGCTGTATTTTTACCTTGGGCCCGTAAACACTTCAACGGCTCACCATGGAGTTTTCAACAAGACTCTGCCCCATCATATGGCTCAAACATGACCCAAAACTGGATTCAGGGTCACATCCCAGCGTTCACTAGCAAAAATGAATGGCCCTCAAAAAGCCCTGATTTGAATCCTCTCGACTATTATGTGTGGGCTTTTTTAGAGAGTAGGGTCTGCAGAACACCTCATGATTCTTTGAATAGTTTGAAGTCTAAATTTACACGAGAATGGGACTTCATCCCTCAAGAAATGCTGCTTGTCTCCTGTGAAGCTTTCCCCGCGTAGATTGGAGGCCGTCATTAAAAATGAGGGCGGTCATATTGAATAAATATGTCTGAGAATTGTTAAGGTAATTCTTGGCTACTAGCTCATCCAATAAAAAATAATGCACCTATACGTTTCATTTAGAAATAACGAAAAACATGCGTTGCCATAAATATGGCGGACCCTGTACAGAAACACTCCTTAAAAATCGCGGGGAGAAAATTGTACCTGTTGAATTTCATTTGCCAGGTTTTGATTGTTTTCATAACTTGAATGCAGAGCAGTGCAGTAGAGGTGTAGCTATGTGGGTTAAAACCTCTTATGGGTATCAGCTGGAGTATCAGTGTGGTGCGAACTTTCTCTCTTAGGCAAAGATAGCCTTCTCATAGGCGTCCTGTATATAGATCACCAAACAGTTCCTCGGATAACGATAAAGTTCTAAACAGTCTTACCGAGCATGACTTTCCGTAAGTCACACACATCGATCGTTGGTGATTTTAATCATCCAGAGCTAGACTGGACAGAAGGATCCTCTCCGAGGAATGGGAATCACCCAGCATCCTTGTTCATGGAGTCTGTGAGAGACTCCTCCCTAGTCCAGCACGTTACCAAGTAAACCCATTATAGGAGTAAACAGACTCCTAATATTTTAGAATATGCATTTTGATACAGTTGAAACGAAAATCAGCAAATAATTTCAAAATGATCCATTGAAATGCTTTTTATCCCCCGGAAAGGCGGAATGAAGTAGTCTCTTCACTGGATAATTTTCATAAATTAAAATCTCGAATGAATTCTCATTACATTTGGGAGCCGTGATCAACTAGTCGAAACCGTTATTCTTTTATTTTTTATTTAATAACTTGAATTATTTCCCCATCCAAGAAGAAGAAATTAAATTTTCAAGAAGATGATATGAAACTAAACTTCTGACACTGACATTTGGTGTCTAATTTATGCCTTCTTACAGGCACTAGCTCTTAACATTTTTGACAAAATATAAATTCATCGATATATAGTACAGAGAAACGCATAGTTGTAGTCCGTTTACAGCAAAACCGCCATAAACTGCATTATTGGAAGATTTTGGGATCTATCTGACCATTGAATTGTTATGGTGATCAACTGCAGAAATATTTCAATAGATTAGTTGTCGTGTTCTTTGAAAATGCAACCGAATGTTTCTACCGTATGTTACCAAAACTATTTAAAAGTAACTTTGAAAATACAATCGAATGTTGCTACCGTATGTTGCGAAAACTATTTAGAGGTAACTTTGAAAATACAATCGAATGTTTCTACCGCATGTTACTAAAACTATTTAATGGTAACTTTGAAAATACAATGGAATGTTTCTACCGTATGTTACTAAAACTATTTAAATGTAATATTGATAGCAGAGGCCTTGGCACGCGAATAAAAGCCAGGCTCAAAAGATTGCGCACTGCTCCCTCCAACGGGACATTGATGTTCATTGTTCAGTAGAGCCGTCGTCCGCGGCCGCGATCGCACAGTCATGGCGCAGCTGGACTGCTGGAGCCCCCGTTGTATTCGCTCGCTGGGGCTGATATTTCCTATCAACTAAACGGAGCCATTCAGATCGCGATACTCCAGCAAGTCCTGCTGACATTACCCGTACAAGGAGAAACCTCTGATTAGAAAACGATCAAACTTTAGCGGGATATATGTAAACAGCAATCAGGTCTTGAATTTGAGATAAGGATAAGGGCAGCACTCCTTCTTGTTTTTGATCAGATAAATGAGCCTTCACTTGTGTATTTAACATTTTTAGGAATTTTATATTATAATACATGACACTAAAATAGTCTGGCAGCTCGATCGTAACGTGTGGAAAAAAAAACTCAACCAATCGCAGTTTAAATGTTCGTCGTCAAGAAGAGCTAGAGCTCGGGACAAATTTTCCAGAACTAACTGGGAAGTAATCGGCTTTGAATCGATGAAGTAAACCGAGTGGTGCGGGGCCGTGCGAATGCGCAAAAGCTATGCATATCTAACTAAGCACTAGCATGAGTTTCTAGAATCACAAATGAATTTCAAGCTGCAGCGAACATGTAGCACCGATTCCACACGCACTTTTGTCTACTTATAAATGCAAGGCAGCTGATACTTCGCACGCGAAAGGAACAAAATGAACGTTCAGTTCTCTATTGAATCTTGGAAAACGCTCATCAACGAGCTACTTGATCGTCCCTGGTTGTCACGATTCTATTCTAATATTCTCGTCAGTCCAAATTAACTTGAGATTTCTTCGAAACTCAGCATCGAAGCAAGACTCACATTTTGCACGAATTGCTGGATCACAAACCTGCAGAAACCAATCGTCAGTGCGACAGGCGTTCCCTCTAGACACGGACGCATTTGATATTATTAGAGATATTTTCTTTGACCTACTAACCAAGATTAGACACAAAACTCGGCGTTCGAGATAAGTCTTCTTCTACTTTATACGTTGCTTCAGAATTCCTTATTTTTGTTTTAATGTAATTGAAATGCTAATGAAAACGGTTAAAACTTTGGTAAAGAATCGAAAACTACCATACCATAACTTCAGGTTCGTAACGACAGTAAAAGAAGTGTGGATTATTTTTTGTGTTGATTGTTGGCCGGTCTCAGAAATAAATGTTATAACTTATAACATATTGTAAAGAACAAATTTGAGTAATTTTCGTATATAATTACTCACATTCGTGTACGAAGAAATTGACTATATCAAATTACAAATATCGATTGCTCATCAAACTACTGCAGTGTAAGCTTGGCACTTCAGCTGACAGACAATATGCTAGCAATTATCAATGAAGCTCGCGCAGGTAAACTACGCCTTCAAACGTCAGCTTCTAAGTAATACGGAATGTTCAGTTTTATAAAATTTAAATCAACCAATTCACATATCAGAGTACTACAGATTATCTATTCCTGTCTGCGCTTTGGTTATGATTTTTTGTGATGAAGTTGTTCTTTAAGCTGACATTGAATTTATGTAATCTCGTCGTTTGATGTGTTCAATCCCTCTGATGGGTTCATATCCATTGCAGTTGAATACGCAAATAGGTCGACGTTTGATCATTCCGATTCCTCCGTTATACGGACATTAAATGTGTTTGCTATGAAAAGACGACCTCTATAAAAGAAATAATTTCTTCGGCGCTTTTCGTATTAAATTTTCATCACTCATGTTATAACTCGTCGCAAGATATCAAATACGTGTACGAAATTAAATTATCCACTCATTAACATGCCGCAAACGGTTTCCGAAAACATACAAATGAACAAATGTCAATATATGTCAAAATCTACGGCTGCACTATGTACTAAGTATTTGTACATATGAAAATCTGCGGCTGCGCTATGTACTAAGATTTGTACATATGAAAATCTGCGGCTGCACTACGTACTAAGTATTTGTACATATGAAAATCTGCGGCTGCACTATGTACTAAGTCTGCGGCTGCCTATGTTGTAAGTATTTGGGTCGGTAACAACCATCACAATCGTAATACTGCTTAGCGTAGTGAAGAAAATGAATGAATGCTCGATGCAATATCATGATTCAGTTGGTGAAAAGTAAGATATAGCGTGGGGCATCTTGTTCAATAGTTGATATGATTAATTTGAGTGTATCAATTAGTATGGATCAATTAGTATAATGGATAGTATGGATCAATTAGTATGGATCAATTTGTATGGATCAATTAGTATAATGGATAGTAGGGATCAATTAGTATGGATCAATTAGTATCGATCAATTAGTATAATGGATGAATTAGAACTCAAGGGCAGTAATCATATTTGGTCGAGTTACATGACTTGCATGCGCCAGTTATCAGAAATGAGGCTAATACTTCTAATCCAGGATAATGCCATATACTTCGTTATATGGCGTTATCCTGGTGGGAAGACAAACATTGTTAGGTATTTCTGGATTATCCCTAAAATTTGAAAATCGTGAACTCAAACAGTTTTCATTGCCCCCCCCCCAAATAATTTTGAAAAAAGGATAGAATCAATTTCAATGTGACAGTAACGCAAATCTACGAAGAAAGTCCTAATCCAAAAACCGCAGACATTTAACTCAAAGTTCTGATCGAGGAATGAAATTAGGTTAAAATACATAATAAAATAAAACATTTCGAAAGCGAGTGGAGTGGTTACTCAATTTACGGTACATATTAAGGGCATATACATATTAATGGCACAGGGTGGCCCAGTGGTTAAAGTTCAGTCCCAAGATTGGCGCAGAGAGGCGCGGGTTCGATCCCAGCCCTGTGCGCCAGTTTCTGGTCAGAATCGGCGAGGAGGCCGGGCGGTTAAGCACAGCAGAATTGTTCCGCTATTATTATTATTATTATTATTATTATTATTATTATTATTATTATTATTATTATTATTATTATTATTTATGTTTAGTTAGTCGCAAATGGGATTTTTTACGCGTAAATACGTTCGACCAATACAAGATGCTGCGATAAATAACAAAGACCCGTAAGACGGTATTGATGAGCTTCATCTCGTACATGCCAAATATTGAGGAACGCTGAGCACCCTCCAAGCTGCTCGATTATCCCTGTGACACTGAACTGTTCCTTAGAGCTTAGATCAGGGGCCGTACTTTCAAAACATCGCTAAGTGTTCGTAGCGACTTAAGTACAATGTAAGGCCGCTAAGTGCGCGTAACTCCCAATGATGGTACCTTCGAAACATATTGCGTAAAGTTAAGTACAATAATTTGCACGTAACTTTGCGACAATTCAGAGGTCGCGTAGGTGGAGTTACGCATAACTTTTGAGTGAGTCAAGCGATTAGGAATCATTTAGTCACTAGTGTCTAGATTCTAGAAGCATTTTAAGGCAAAACCTGTAATTTTTATTTAAGAATTTTTTTTATAGTAATTACATTAGTCGTGCATCTAATGCCTTTATACTTGGTACATGTTCTAATAGAAAACGATCCTAATTGGCAGAGATGAACAATGACTAGTTTAAATTTAGATAGAATTCACTTAAATGTTACTCTCGTTGTTCATTATGTCATATTAATCATCAAATACTAGTTTTGATATCTTGAAACGGCAGTTGTCATTGAAATTTTAGAGTGAAAGCATCTAGAATTCTTTAAAAAGAGCTAAAAATGTTTAAATAACTGAGCGCCAAAGCATGGCATCAAATGACTCATAACGTAAACAAAGGATGTAAGTGAGCTTGTGACTGGCTGATATACAACGTGGTTTTATAGTATGCCTTCAGCTAAGTCGTGCTTACGAAAGTTTTGAGGGTGTCAAAAGTTGCTGATCGTACGCTAGACGTATCTTCTTGAGCATAAGTTCAAGAAGTTACGTCCACCTAGCAATGTTTTGAAAGAACCTGCCCAGGGCAGAGATTAACGAAACTTCGCTAAGTTCACGTAACTTTTCGTACTTACGTTCAAAAAGTTACGTATGGCGTAAGTTCAAGTCAAAATTTGGCATTAACAAAACTGTCTTACGCATGACTTATCTGAAAAGGTATTATCGAAACCATCCAACTAACTGACCAATCAGAGGCTTTGGATTTGCTGTTCCTAGCTCCTGTCGACTCAGTGCGCAGAGCGCGTGGATGGAAGGAGGTTGTGTCGTGTCAGCGGCATCAGCGTAGACTGACTAGGGTGCATTTGGAGAAATAAGTGTGACGTTATCCAAATAGCAATGCACTTGTTATGATCAGTCATCAAAATTTCTTGCAATCAGGGCAAAAAATTGCACTATTCTCATTCAAAACTAGAAGACTTTTTAGAGAGACCTAGAATTTAGAAAATTTTATGAGTTGGAGTTGTGACTGTCTTACGTAGCTTCCCGCGCAAATGTTTCGATAATAACACTCAGTAGAGTCACGTCTACTTAGCTGTACTTACGCTAAACGTTAGCGGCTACGTATACTTAGCATGTTTTGATAATCCGGCCCCAGTTCGCGAAGAAATTCGCTAAATGTGCATTTTGTAAGACCCTTAGTCTATGTTTAAATTTTATGAGTTATCCAATACTTATATGATTATATATTGTATATGATTATATAGACTTATATGATTCAGATACTTACTTGATTAAATAATTGCAGTAATAATGGAGAACATACGAATGGTTATCACAACCCTGCTGGTGTTTGTGATATGTGCGGTGGTGGAGGAAACTCTGGGAACTTTCGTTAAGTACTCCACCATAGCTGTGACAGTGGAAAAACTTCTCGAACTTGGCGTGGCATCGAAGAACTACTCAGCCGCAACAGCCATCTACTGCGCGATGCAGGCAATGCTAAGTGGCACCGGCTTCCTAACTCTGTGCGTGCACAGCACCAGCGGGCAGTGCCTGCTACTGAACTCGACGTATCCGGCCCTGTTCAACCGAACTTATCCGAGTTCTAAGGATTACAACTGCTACATTCGCGAACCTTTTCCCCGTTCAATTGCTGTCGGTAAGCTGGAAATAATTATGTTTAGAACTTTACCTTCCGAAATTTCATTTTCCCACAACCGCGTCACGCTTAATGTTGCATGATTATTATATGGAACTCTCAATTGCACGTGATTTGCTGTATTTAGAATTAGAACGCATGTTTATTATTGTATCCCTTGGCTATGTTTCGCTGTATGGAAGTAGCGGAATGAAGCTAAACTATTAACGAAATTTTGTTTTGGGTTCATTCGGATGAAGGAAGGACATAATAAGTGCCCTTACATTATGCGTGTAACTTGATTTATGTTCAACGTAGCAGGATAACCAGGCGTTGCTCTGGATAGATTATGCCTGCGGTATGAGAATAAGGGTATAATAATATACGTTTAAAAATTACTTTTTAAAGACAACACTTCTAAAGAATCCAGTGTTTCCAATGTTACAGATGTAAAATGAATTTCTAATTTTATTTTAGAGTCTTAAAAAAATTAAATTTTCAATTTTTTCAATGCATGAAATTTTTTTCAAAATAATTTATTCTGTCAATTGATTCATGCATTGCCTCCAACTTCACACAAGTGTGCAAAATTTCATTTTAATTGGACAGGTAAAAGTGTGTCAAATATCAATTATAAGATTTGTAGCTGACAAAATTATTTTTTCAGTTTTTTTAAATTAAAAAAAAAATTATTTATTTTTTCATTTGATTCATGCATAGTCTCCAACTTTACGCAAGCGTGCAAAATTTCAGATAGATAGGATAAGTAGAGGTGTGTTAAATTTCGATTACAAGATTTGTAGCAGACAGACAAACAGACAAACAAGAAGTGAAGTTAGAGAGAAGTGTTGTAAAAATACACTAATCCCGTCGTACAAAATCTCTCTACTTCGACTATAGATTATAATAGCAAAAAATTATATTTAATGAGGAGATACCCGTTCAAATTAATACTCCCATTCACCTCCCGGGAGGGAGACAACGGGAGATGCAACGGGAGATTATCTCACAAGGGGAGATACTCCCAGTCACCTGCCGTTGTGAAATAACAAAATAATTTTTTTTCCTATAATTAGTATTTTGAATTGCTTTAGTCCAGCAGATTTGAGAATCCAATGAATCAAAATCCCCTTGATCATTTCAATCTAACTTAATGGTTCCTAATAAAGACTCGATCAAACTCACATTCAAAGTAGAACTTCCTTCCCATGGACTAATTAACTTATTTAAAGTTACATTTGCATATTTTATACATACAGTTGTTTACATCCTTTTCCAACAGCCCTCTCTCTTTTCTGAAAAGTCTTACAATTCTTCCACTTCAAATATCAGTTCCAGGTAATTTCGCGACACGATAAGTATCCTGGATACGCGCTCCAACAACTGTGTCAATAGCAAACGTTTCGCTAATGTTGATACGTTTGTTGAGGTGCCAATGAATGATGATACTTAAAGCGAGCATTATTCGAGACGGAATTGTATTTAATGAAGGGATTGATCAATGGTGATTAATTGAATCGATTCATGGCCGTCTAATGAAAGGCAGCGCTTCGAACAATTAGAAAGATAGATCTTATTGTATGCAAAAAAGATAAATGTCTGCCGATAGTTTGCTGACGAGGATTACTCTGACTGATGCTGGTTCTGTCTCAACTTCTGATATATTGATGGGATTCCTAATAAACTCTTTGACGTTGGTTGTACCTCAGCATCATAAAAACACGTGTAAAACAGTAGCAGATAAGTACAGCCTGATCCTGCTAACGTAGGATGTGCTTCAGCATCATAAATACTCGTTAAATATTAAACAATTTAACACCACAGATTATTGTAGATCGAAAAAAAACATCAGGTAAATATTAATCTATGACGGAGTAATTATAAACCCTTATTTGAGTCTATGATGCAAACTATTGCATAGGCGTGATGATAATTAAATCTCGAATAAATAGGCCATCATTAATTTTGAACGGAACTTTCATTATTAAAATGCATTTTAATGGGATTGCAGAGTGTCGATTTGATCGTAGGAAAGTATAGTTACATCAACTGCCCAATTATGTAGTTTTGATTAGGTTAACAGAAAGTCTAATTTACAGCCAGGCTCCGTCAATGACATGGATGCCCCCTACTATTCGATTAAATTCGCAATCATAGCGCAAAATGCTACACTGCAAAAAATTGTACCATTTAATATTTTTCTGCTGAACATAGATGAGTGTATTATCCTGCAGCTTGTTAATAATAACTTACCCCACAGCCCCACCCTGTCCGGCCTCCTTCGACTGGGTTGCGGACGTCGGTTGTGTGCTTGTGGTTGAGTACGGAGTGACGTACGACGTCGCCAAGGCCTCGTGCCCTGGAGGCTCCCAGCTCGTCTCTCTCTACGCTGACAACTTCCTCAAGCTCACTGCCTACGTATACGAAAAGTCACTCCGGCCAAGTAAGCGATATTTTTAATGTTAAAAGTATGAATATTAAGGATGTATGAATGCAGCTTCACCCTAAATGAAACGGAAATTTTATGTGCTCTATTTCAATAGTGTTCCGGAGATATAGCCAATAGTTCGCATTCAAATAGAAATATTCATCTGAAGGTGACTTCAATTTTGAAGATCTTCTTAACCATTATAAAATCCTTCTCTTTCATGACAGGGGGTTTCTCTACTGGTTGGTACATCGTGGGGCTTCAGCGCAACAACATCGTGTGGACTTGGCGCACGGGCCAAGTCATGTCCGGCTTGCCTGGTTCGGGATTTTGGGGATCGCTCGAGCCCAACGATAACTCAGACTGTGCATTTCTTCAGTTCAGTAACGGTGCCTTCTACCTTGGGGACATGCCATGCAATACTGGTTCATTCTATGTTTGTGCACTGCAGTGATGTCCGGATGATGTGTGCAGTGCAGTGATGTCCGGATGATGTGTGCACTGCAGTGATGTCCGGATGTTGCCCGGATGATGTGTGCAGTGCAGTGATGTCCGGATGATGTGTGCACTGCAGTGATGTCAGAATGATGTGTGCACTGCAGTGATGTCCGGATGATGTCAGCACAGCAGTAAAGTCAGAATGATGTGTGCACAGCAGGCTCAGTTGTCAATAACTAGTGATTTTAATCTCCGGATGATTAAAAACAACAAATTGTGATGATGGCAGATTCGGCGACGCGGTTCTAGCTGGAATAAAATGGATGTTCACTTGAATGCATTATACTATCTTTCCATTATGTTATCCAAAAGCCGTAACTCTGTCTTGAAATGCACCCAAAAACGACGAACTGGTGAATTATTAACATTTTAGTCCACTTATCACTCATGTAAAGTAGTTTTGCACACCTTGCTAACTCAAAACCTCCCTGTCATGTAGGTCCGACTTAAACTGCTAGGCTGAGCTTCCGGCCGGGCAATCCTAGTCGCGTTGATATTAAGCGCATTTTCTCCGGCCCTGCCACGGCTGTTACAGTCTTTATCAATTAATTTGGCGTGACTCTGAAGTCGACAAAAATTTGAATTTGATAAACTAACGTCATTCATCCGCCGCTGGTTGACGATGGTCAGCTTATTTTTTTTTTGACGGGGTAACTTTTTCAAGCCTTGCTGTTTATGGGTCTATTTTTACGATTTCTTGCACTTTAAAGCAATTTGATTTTAAAGTCGATCGTTTCACTGGTCCACGCTTTTTCTGGAATGATTTGCGTCGATTTACGGGCCTCTACTCTCGTACACTCAAACAAATCGATGCGTGCCAACGGCGCGCCAAGTGTCTATCCCGGCTTATCTCAAAATGAATTGGCAAAGGCGCGTAAAGCGCCACTCAGCCAGCCGGAGCGCGTAATCTGCAGGCACTGACGACGGAAATTATTGCAGATTTTGATAAGTAATTTTATTGAAAAAAATCATAACTTTTTCCAAAGACAGGCGAATGATGTCGCAAATGTAGCGCTAGGCAGATATTTCGTATAAGAAATAAGATTCTATACTTTTAAGCATTTGAGATAAATTTAAATTCAAATTAAGATATCCAACAATAAAGTTGTAAAAATTCATATGTAAGATGAAGTCAATTAAGGCTTTGAACGCACCCTTAGTGATATTATGAGGAAATTACTCTGAACATGCATGTCATCGATTGGTGTATACAATTAAATAATTATTGAAATTCTTGCAATGCTCATTACAATTCAGTTCTTTGAATATGTCCCATCATGTTGACATATGACCGGGTTTAATAATACATGTTTTATCGAGACAGTTACATTATGTGAGCATCTTATTACAAATTGCTGCATTACTTTGATATAAACATACTATTTGTGACCCTACCTTTTTACTTACTCACATTTAATCCTCCGCTGTGAGAACCATTCGACCGTAGCAGGATTCGAACCCGAGATCGCGTCACACCGCGCGACGCCTCAGCCGACTTGACCGAGGGAGCACGTGTGCATTGGAAATTAATATTAAAAATTAAAAGCCATCATCATCTACGATCACCGCTTGCAGGTCGCGTGCTATCGCTGGGTTGCATGACAGGGGCCGGATTATCTGTTTATACCTCGTACATTTTTATACTTACGTACAAGAAGATACGTGTTGCGTAAGTACACCCTAATTTAGGCATTATAAAAAATTTCCTACTCAAGCCTTATCCGAGTAGCTATTATCAAACCTCGTTGCACATCAGCCAATCAGAAGCTCGCTTACATCCCTTGTTCGCATCATGTGCCATCTAATGCCACGCTTCTGTTTCCAGTTAGTTAATTTTTTAAAGAATCCTAGACGCTTTTACTCTAAAAGTTCAATGACAAATGCCGTTTCAAGGTAGCTATACAAGTGTTAATGACTAGGTACTACATATTATCGACCCATTAATACCCTTTGATTATAGATTAATATCTATAATCTTTTCATTGCTTATCTCCACCAATTATTCGTTTTCTATCGACATGTACTGAGAAAAAATTCGTTAGATGCATTACTAATATAGGTAATTCCTTAGCTATAGAAAAAATATTTTTCTAATAAAAATTAGAGGATTTACCTTGAAATGATACTAGAATCTATACATTAGTATGATACTAGAGTCTAGACACTAGTAACTAAATGATTACCAATCGCTTCACCCATTTAAGCACTTCCGGTGATTTGACGGTATAAAACGGCCAGTGACAAACTGGCTGGCCTGGCAAGCTTAAAATTTGTGCCTAACTCCGCTTACGACATCTCCGAGCAGGCGTAAAGTTACGCACAAATTCTTGCCTACCTAGCTCCCCGCGCAAATGTTTTGATTATACCACCGCTAGAGTTACGTCTCCATAACAGCACTTACGCAACACGTAAGTGGCTACGTGTACGAAGCGATGTTTTGATAATCCGGCCCCTGGTCGCATGACGTTGTACGTGGTGTTGCACGGTGTTCAAGCATTCATTGCACAGCCAATATTAATACTTGACTTTAGTTGGTATAAGTAGAATAGAATTCATGACGTAACTTATTTTACTAGGAGCACGTCTATGATATCATATCATAAGCTCGTGCGTTTAATCACTATTGCACGATATTTTCGACTTATTATCACTGCTTTCGCCTCTCTTGTTCCCCATCATTCCCATAACACCCGGGGCGTTTGATTTAACTTACTACCGGTTCCATTTTTAATTATGCCAAATATTTTAATAAATTGTCAGATTTGTTCAAACAAGGTTGCTCCAAAATGTTTTTAAAAATTAAATTACGCGATTTTATCGTTAACTAGTATTAGTTTGATTTCGATTATCATGCAAGTTTTAAGTATTTTTGCAAGATGTTTTCAGGTGTACCCTGTTTTACTCAGGCTTTTATCAATGGGTGAGATTATATTAGAAATTCATTACTTTATTTGTTCTCATCGTCATCTTATTATCATTACAATAGTGTTTTATACCCATTATGTTGCCTGTGAAGCTATTTTATCTTATATGGGCATTCACTTGGAAGCCTCATTATTTTATTTCATGTTTCTTATATATTTCATTGTAACGTGTGCTCGTGTGTGAATAAATAAATCATATTATAAATCAAATCACTATTATAACGATGATAGTTCGGCCAGAAGCAATGTTATTATATGTATTGAATTAAAACTTGGTTGCAAATCAAGCGTTTATGGTTGTGCCCTGCAATGCCGTCATCCTCTAGGTCTAGGTGGCTTCGCCCGAGCGAAAGTTTTCATCAATATTAGACGGAAACGGCGCACGAACATTTTTGGACTGGTGCGGACATTTTTGGACTGGATCGTTTAGTTTCGTCAAGCCATTTAGACACGTTAGCTGTCTATGCTCAACGTGTAGACTTCTTTCAGTAGAGTACACTGAAAAATGATCAAATGAGACACATTTTGAAGAACATGATCGCACAGTTGGTTACGCACGGAAATTTATGGGCTGCGATTAAAAGGTAACATACTTTAAACGGTAATGTAAATTAAGAAAGTTTTATGGATGTAAATATGACTTTTGACCGTTTATTCCTGCTATTTTTTAATATATGCAATGCTTCTGTCATCTCATCATCTGCCGTGTCTTGGTAATTCATTGCGGTAAGATCCTTTCATTAGATTATTAACTAATGGTATCCATGTTATCTTTATCTCACTATAGCCAAGCGTAAATTAAGCCCGTGGCGGATGGATAAGTCTTGAATTAACGAATGCCTAAACCCAGGTTCTATGAGTCGACGAGTCCCGAATTGTTTATTCACGGATCATTAACATTGATTCAAAGGCAGGTACGAATCGAATAGGTATGAGAGGCAGAGCTGGGCAGTGCTACTTTGAAATGTAGCGGCGCTACCGCTACCGCTACCTGCTCTAAATGTAGCGGGCGCTACCGCTACCGCTACACCCACTAGATTGTAGCGAGCGCTACCGCTACAGTAAAATGTAGCGCCGCTACATTAGCAGCTACAATGGAAAATTTTTGGAAATCTCTAAATATTTATTGTTCTGCTATTGAGATTTTCAAAACATATCAATGCAACTTTATTGCAACTAACCTAACGGTTAGATTTTACTTAATAGTATTAAATATTATTTAAAAACCAGCATGATACATACATAATATAAATTACAGAATAAAACTGTACGAAAGATTTTGGTGTAATGTTGTCAACCTCAGCCTATTACTACTTACTAGTGTCAACATGTTTGTTGTTACTTGTTAAGTTGTTACCAGTTACAACTTACAGGTTTTTTTTTCATTTTTCAGTTTGATTACAGTTATTTTTACACAGTTATTTTTAGGTTTCACCTTCCCTACATGGATGTCTACTTTAATCTACCAATCTCAAAAATAATCCACTTATATATACAAATAAAAGACTGATTTTTCATATGTATATGTGGATAATTTTTGAGATTAGTAGATTAAAGTAGACATCCATGTAGGGAAGGTAAAACATAAAAATAGCTAACTAACTTTTATTTACTGTATCTAGCCCATACTAGTTCGGTTAGGTTAACTGCAATAAAGTTGCATTGATATGTTTTGAAAATGTTTTATTATCATTAAATGTTAATGAGTAAATCCTAATAGCAGAACAATAAATATTGAGAGATTTCCAATAATTTTGGCCATTGTAGCGGCTAATGTAGCGCGCTACATTTTACTGTAGCGGTAGCGCTCGCTACATTTAGAGCATGTAGCGGTAGCGGTAGCGCCGCTACATTTCAAAGTAGCGCTGCCCAGCTCTGCCACCACGAGACTTCATACATTCCATTCCGAGACTTCATACATTCCATCACTAGACGTCATACATTCCGTATGAAATTTTATACATTCCACCACGAGACTTCATACATTACATCATGAGATCTCATACATTCCACCACGAGACTTCATACATTC